GGTTGAGGGAACTTCAAGCAAGCTCACACGACCTTCAGGCCTCACTCAAAGTTGCTACATTTCCATATCCAAACTCAACTGAACAAGGTATTTGTCAAGTTTCTAACTCCTTATTTAGGCATCCTTAAGCTTAGGTTTGTGAAGCCAAAATGTAGTCCTTAAGTTGCTTGAGCTGTACATATGCATAGCTTCCATTTATATTAACTCGGCTAGGAGTATTTGATTGTTGAAGTTGCTGAAAAAACTAGGTCAGAAATTAAGGCCATTAAAATTCTCTTTGGTCTTTGAGAGTTAAGTCATGTTTGTTATATCATTAGAATCGTGAGTTAACATACTACAAGTTTCATGTTGCAAGATTTTGTTTTTATGCACGTATGCAAGAGATACAGGTTTACCTCAGAAACGCGCGTAGGAAGTGTACAAAGGTCAGGGATGAAGTGGAGTCTGGGCCTGGCGCGTTTGGGCTTGGCTTTTCTGACTTTTTGCACCCCCCCCCCCCTTTTACTTTTTGCACCCCCCTGACCTTTTATTTTATATTTTTTGTATTTTCTTGTACGATTTATATTTTCTGACTTTATTTATTTTTTCTGAACATTTAAAATCACAAAAAATATTTTCTTTATTTTTTGCATTTTATCATATTTTTTTATTTTATTTTTTGCATAATAAATAGTTTATTAGGTTAAATAGAATTTATTTTCTTAAATAACTTGTAAATAATATTAAAATACTTAAATATTTTTTTTTATTACATTATACACTTAAAATATTATTTTCATGTATATTTTAATTTTTTTAACATTTTGTATATATTTTTATTATTTTTCTTGAGCAAAAAATGAATAAAATAAATAATATAGACTATTTTCTATTAAATCAAAAATTAGGGTTTTCACCCTTTCAAAAATAATCATTTTATTTTTTCTTATTTTTAAGACTTAAATAAATTTATTTTTACATACATAAATTAATACAAAAACATTTTTTGCATATTTACATTTTATTGCATATTTAAATATTGTTTATTTATTTATTTGTACAATAAATTCAATTTGGTTGTAATAGTTTTAGGATTTTATTTTGAGCAATATCCCCCTATTCAAAACTTGTATCCCCCTTCCCATAATATTGTTGTAATAGTCTAGATTTACTTTACGCATTTTATTGCTTTCATATACCATGATAGTAACTAGGGTTTTGAATGAAAAGACCAAAAATCAAAACAAATAGCATGACCTAACACAAGACAAAAATGCATGAAAATGACAACACATTGCACACAAGCATCTCTAGGGTTTCATCCACTTTGTTGCCTTAAAATGGCCATGGTATGCATGCTAGGTATCTTGGCAAAACAAAACAAAACAAAACAAAACAAAAAGATCATAGTCCCTCGATGACGCTATTAAAATGTTGCCTAAAAGAAAAATGATCTAGTCCCTTAAAAACTTGCTAAGATACTTGGCAATATTATTATCATGGTCATACGATGACCCACGCCCGTCTCATTTAACATCCAAAGATAGGGTTGTTTACCAAATGCAATGGTAAAACAACAATGTCAAAGGAATAAAAATGTGTAGGAAAGACTTTTGAGTAGGTAGATGCTTCTAGTTACTTGATCAATTTGCAAACCATCCTCGCTATTTTCAAAAACACATACACAATTTCAAAATATTTTCCAAACAAACTTTCAAACATTGAAACATTTTTCAAAAGACAAACATCTTTGTATACATTCTTACAAACAAGAATCATTACAAAGATTGCCTAAACGATGGCCTCTTTTCAAAATACTTTCAAAACCACACAAAACACCATTTCAAACAATTGAAAAGCAAAAGCAAGTGATCTAAAACAACTAACTAAGAGCCCATGGAAAACCATGGATGAAAAGGGTGCTAGCACCTTCCCTTTTCATAATCTACCCCCCGAACTCAAAAACAATCTCAAAGGTCTTTCTGTTCTTTTTTATCTTTCCTTTTGGATAAAATAAAAGTCGGTGGCGACTCTTGCTAAACCGAAACATTTGCAAACACAAACGCAAAACCTCAAGTCAGTTCTCCCACCGCATCACAGTCCCGTATTAAAAGCTCACCCAGGTTCAAGATCAACCCATGTAAAATCTTTGTTCAAAGCTTGAAGACTAACCATTTCAAGTTGTTGTTTGAAAAAAATACTAACCACTTCGATCTGTCATTTGGAAAGAAGACTTGTTGTTTCTCTCCTTGTTTTGTTGTTTGGTTGGAAGTTAGCCAGAAATTTTATTTTCCTTGTATAAGGGAGTTTGATAGTCCAACCTACTAAAAGATATTAAGTTTATTGGATACTCTCATGATCAAATCTTAGGAACAATACTATAAGTCTTTTTTATTGAACTTGTGTAATTCCTGATGATTTCTCTCTACCCATTTACTCTTTAAAATTCAACATTTTACTTTTTGCACCTTTAATTTCAGTTTCTTATTAAGCTTTGAAAATAATCCAAAAAGGTTTTCAAACTCAAGTTTTCCTGAAACCAACAATTCACCCCCCTCTTATGTGTGGAGTCATGTATCTAAGAGGTCAAATTCCTCTCTTGTGGAACTTGTAGTCTCATCATCTATGATCAGTGTATGACTTTGGCTCAAGAGATTCAAGGACATGTAATGCCCCTAAGGCCTGGTAGCTTAAACCACTCCGCCCTTTGTAAAAGCCCTTATGCTTGATGTACTTCATAGTGTATTTATTGTGAAGGACATGGTAAAAGGCGGGGGGGGGAGTGATAACCTTCAAGAGGCGTAGCACCTATACTTCACGCACCATTAGGAACCGCCTTGCACTATCATGAGAAATGTGGGAAAATGCATTTCTCAAATGAATGAAAACCAGTTAATTGATTGGTCCATGTCTCTTTAGGAAATAAGGATTCAATGGTTATCCATTAACTAAGTGGGTGGTTCTTAAATCCAAGAAACCCCTAGGCTCGAGGTGCCTTTATAAATACATCTTCCCTAAACGCGAGAGAGACAAAACAACATATCCTCAACATAATGTTGAAACACATAGAGCCTCTCACCTCACGTGAGTTTCCCTTTTCATATCATCGTAAACACCATAATCATCACCAAACAGGGTCTCTCATTGTGACGGTAAGCCCTAACTATTATAAACTACTAAGGCCTTTGAGTGTCCCATAGTTGTATAGGGATACCATACACACCGGTACTTTTTGAGAAGTACAAGTTACAAACTTATTATTTAAAGGAGTATAGTTATGAAATAAAGAAGAATGACAACAAATGTGAGAAGTAGCACTTGAATCAATAACCTAAGTGTTAGAATATTATGATTTATGTGAATCAAGAGTGGAAAAAATCACACCAATGACAGAATTCACTGAAGCTCTAACTTCTAGAGTGGTTTCCTTAGTCAATTGAGCTCGCAAAAACTAAAAAACTATTGACAATGTTGAGCTATATAAGTAACACCTGAAGCTGTATCCCCGTCTATAACAGAGCTATCAAACACATTATTGGCTTGAGGATAAGCTTTAGGACCTTGATATTTCTTGAATCCAGGAAGAAAATTGTGTTGTTTAAATAATTTTTCAATGATATAACCAAGAACACCATATAGAACTTTCTTTCTTGGAACTATTGGGGTTACCTTGAACTAGAAAGGCAACTAGAGACTCAACAAGAGGTGAAGTTAAGTACTTCAATTTATTTCTCATCTTGAGAAACCATAGAAAGAACAACATTAATCTACGGCAATGGATTTATCAACAGTATTTGGCCACGAACTTGATTAAAATATTAATTAAGAAGCATGAGAAAAGTGAGATTATACTCATTTTGAAGATGATCAATGATTGGTTGCACTGTCCCAACAATTACCTCTGTCAGCAACTAGGACACTTTGCTAGTGATTGTCGAGCACTAACGAGAGATTACGTACCATCTACCAACCATGATGTCTATCACATTGGAGGAGAAGAAGCTTCAAATGCTTCAAGATTTAATCCATGGTGAGTGTGAAATTTCAAACTAACTATTTTTCAATGTTATATGATTCTGGTGCTACACATTCTTTCATCTCTGAGAAGTGTGTGAATTCTATACAACTACTTGTTACTCACTACCTTTTGATTCATTTTAGTATACAAATGTGCCTTAATCGTTTAGGACAATGCCTTAATGAATGACAACAACTATATATCTTTTTTCCTTTTGAAACCTTCTAAACGATTATTTTTATACATACCAATCGATTGGCTCATTAAATTTTGCACCAAAAAATTTTCTTTCTCGTGCCACACTCTAACCGATAGATAAAATACCATTCCCTCATATTTTAACATCCATAATTGTGAGCTCTCATATCTACTCCTCACTCTCTCTAACAATATTTTCTCACTTTCTCTCACTTAGAAATTTATTCATAGTGATCTTAAGTTTATTAGATACTCTCAAGATCAAATCTTAAGAACATGACAAAGACTTTTTAACTAAACCAATATAATTGATTCTCTCTCAACTCCAATGGCAAACAAATTGAACATCACCATTATGTTATACTCTTTAATTACTATAAATGTTATTAAGTTATTAGTAGAGTTGGTGGGTAGTTATTATACTATTAATTATGTGTGTTTAGGTGTATAATAAGCAGGGAAATACATTAGGGAGTTGATGATCTGGGAATTGGATAGGAAAATGGGCCATTTTGTCATTGGGAGGTGCATACCCTCGAAGTTCTACGGTATTATTCTATAAACAAAAAGGGATTTTCCCTATTTTCTTTTATATATCAGTTGGTTTCTATCAACTAGTATCAGAGCACTTCTGATCCGGGAGAGGAAATAAAAATAAAATTTAAAAATGGAGTTGTCATCAAGAATGGAAGGAATGTTCGACCTTGTTGATGAAGTGTTGAAAGAAATTGGAGATTGGAGAAGAGAACTCAAAGAGTTACAAGTAAAAATACCAATCTTTGAAGGAACAAATGTTGTTGGATGGATGATCAAGGTTGAGAAATATTTTGTGGCAGGAGGTGTATGTAAAGAAGAAGATCGAATACCAAGATTTGTGCAATGAGTGGGTGGTAGAGCCGTCACATGGTACCAATTATGGGTTTTGGCCAATCCAAGTTCCACTTGGAGAAATTTAAAGAGGAAATTCTCAAGAAATTTGGGCCAGAATCTGATTCAATAGAGAATGAAGAAGCAAATGAGTGGCCACCACCAGAATTATTAGACCAACATCTACCACTGTCAAAATCACCAGACATCGGGTTTCACAGGGTGTTTGCAGCTATTTTTGAGGTAAATTCTAAGAATAAGAAAGTTCCATTGTCGGTATTCATCCCAACAATCGTTCACTAGAGGGTTGCTGGCAGCAAGCAAATTTATTCATGAGAATTTTTTCATATACAATTCAATCCTTTTGCTTCAGATTATGGGATCCATATATACTTTTACCTTGAAGACAAGGTGAATCTTTAGGGACAGGGTATTGTTAGACTTTTTAGTTATTGTAACTGTTATTAAATTATTAGTAGAGTTAGTGGGTAATTATTATAGTTATTGATCTTACCGGTGACCAAAACCTTTAATGGACCGATATCTACGTCTGCTGGGTTAAAATCAAGGAGGAGGAGGTGTATCTGCAAGGCACTCTGACACTCAAGTAAGTAAGAGTGAAAAAAGATAAAGAGAGAGTTTATGGTTTTAGAGTGAATATTGAATGCCTAGCCCTCACAAGTGTGAGGATTTATATAATGCCCCCATTGTTTTGCCATTGATTCCTATTTTTGGGCCTGGATACCAAGTCCCCTAAAATAGGTAACTTCTAGGAACTAGTCGTTATGACGGGAAGATATGAACAGAACTAGTTGTTGCCCCGAACAGGGGGCGTAGTTGCGAGCAAACGCATTATGGTTGTTCCAGGGAAGCTGCCCCGCGCGACGGGCAGAGTGAAAACTAGTTGTTAGTACGAGCAGATGTACAGTCCAAGTGTAGCGGTGGTCTCGTTGGTTTTGAAGGCAACCGACCATGCATCCCCTACCGAGGGGCAGAAGGGAAATTTGTCCTTTGTCTATCCTGACTAATTAGGCCAAAGCTATTAGGCCATGCTTAGTCATCGGGCCATACCAGAATAGGATCCCCTAAGTCGTTGCTCCTAGGCATAGGTGTAATGACTTAGAGTCAGCTCGTGCATCGAGGACGAGATCATTTCATCAGAATTTGTTTTTTCGTGATAGGGACATTTTGTAGTTCCACGAGGACAAGTATGTACGAGGAACCCAAACATTGTCTTATGTGTTCGGTATGAGGGGAGCCAAATAGTTGATTGGTTTTGAAGAGGTTGCGTATCACGTCTTAAAGTGAAATGATGGAAGCCTAGGGGATAGGATTTAATGATGACCCCGATACGCACAGGGAACCATCTATAAATTGGAGATGCAAAGAAACTTTGCACCTTTCGCTAGTTCTTCATTTGCTCTCTCTGATCAATTCTTCTTACTGTTGCCATTGCTCGCCTCCATCCACCGTCGTATCAAAGTTATTCGGACACAGCTTCAACCCCTCCGACCACGTAAGATTTCTATTTCTCATTGTTTCAAGCGAGATTTAGCTTTGTTTTCAATTAGAATGCATTCAGATGTGATGGATCTAGTTAGAGTGAGTGTCACTCTGGCGATTGTTGGTGTTTCACGTTGGTTATGCCACTTTCTGACGCAATCATCGATGAAAGAGTGAGATCAATCACGGGATATGTGAGATATTGGCTAATCTGGAGCCGTAGTGGTGGCGACGAGCAAGCTTGTCACCGGCGGAGCTCATGAGTTCTCTGGTGGATTCATGAGTTTTCTGACGAATGTATGAATTTTCCGATGAATATTCAAATAGAATTCTGGGGAATATGCTGGGGAGACTCTCCATATGAGGGTTTAAGGATTTTCGCATTGGAAATGCTCTGAACCAGTCGAGGAAGATCTCTTTATACTCTCGCTTATTGTATGAGTAACGACTTTGGCCGAGGACATTGTTATGTGTCTTTGTACACCCTTTTCACGTGACTAGAGGTGGAAGGGTGGATTTGATTTGATTGTCAAATTTACTTTTGTGATGTGAAAATGGCCAGTGATTCCGAGGATGAAAATATGGTCAAGCAGATTGAGACTTCCGAGGAGGAGCGGATGACCTCGGGGCCCTGTGAGTGGATTTCCCTGGAGCCCCGGGGGATATCCTCGTTTTTTGCTTCCTTCCCCGAGGAGGCGTTTACATTAGTAGGGGAGAGACGAGTTCGTCAGGTGTCGACAAGGAGTGGAAAGTATTGTTCCCTGGGAAGGATGAATAGATCTATTTGCCATTCGATACTGATCGGTTCCTGATGTATGAGTATGTTTTCAAGGAGATGAGGTTTAGGTTGCCTTTCTCAGATCTTCATGTGGAAATTTTTGCCCATTTGTATTTGGCACCCTCGCAACTCCATCCCAACTCACCATCCTTCACCCGGGAGTTCGAGATTTTCTGCGATTAACTTAAGATCGAGGCTATAGTTCCCCTCTTTTGTGCTTGCTTCCATCTTCAACGATCGACCTCGAAAGGACTATTTTCTTGGGTTTCCTTGAAGCAGACGAAAAAGCTTTTTAAGGCGTACTCAAAGTCCATCCATAATTTCAAGGACAAGTATTATGTTATTTTGCCCGTGTCAAGGAGAGTCATTTCTTACTCGCTTAGCTGGGAGATTATGAGGGATGATGACGGTAATCCCCCCTTAGCGAGGATGCTAGGAAGAAAAGGCATCAGGTTCAGAGATTCTGGTTCGCTTGGAGTCAAGATCACTTTGACTGAAAGACTGAGGATTACCTCGTACGATTGAGAAACTTGGAAGGGGAGGATTTGACTGGCTACAATAAGCGTGTGGCCTTTGTTGACAGTTTTGTCTATGCTCAGTGCGTAACTAAGGGTGGGGACCTTATCCTTGATGATGACGGGGAAATCATGTTGCCGGCTCGGCTTATAAAAACTAAGGGGATCCTCGAGTGTTTCACTTACGAGGATTCCATAGCACTTTTATGTAGTTTTGTGTTATTGACTTATTTTTGTTTGTCTTCCTTGTTTTACTGATTTATGCTCGTTGTTTGTTGTAGGTGAAATGCTGAATGCTCAGGAGCGCATGGTTAGGATGGTTTCCTCTAACAAAAATAAGGCAGATGAAGAAAAGTCATCTTCATAAGAGTTGTCGAGTTTCCACGGTCCCTCCTTCAACTGGGTAGGGGACCTCATCCTCTACTCCTATTGGCGTGCACCCTTCTCTCAAGCAAGTGACTATGGCCAGAATGTGTCACCGAGAAGAAGGGGAAACTGTTGACTTGACTATGGAGCGAACTACGGATAAGTTCGAACTACCTCCTTATTAGCTGGAAAGAAATTATTTTGAGAGGGTTCCATCTCTAGAAGTCCTGCGGGCAGAATCGCTGCATCTAGAGGGTTTGGAAACGTCGAATAAGAGGAAGAATCTTTCCCAGGATGTTGCTGCTATGATGAGGATCAAGGAATTAGCGGTGATTCACACCGAGGATGGGACCCCTACCATCAAGGAGGTGAAGGATGTCTGAGCGGCCAACGTGGCTCTCGAGGAGAGGGTAGCCAAGTTGAAGTCTGAAAAAGATGAGCTGGAAAAACATAAGACAAAATGGACCGAACATGTTAAAGAAATGGCCAAGCTGAAGTATGAAAAGAAGGAGCTCGGGGATAGGGTTGCTGCTTTGGAATCTGATACGGCCCTGATTTAGAATGAGTATGAGGATCTAAGATAACTTAGAACTCGTGGGGAGTTGGTTTCCCGCCTATGTCTTATCGAGGAAGACTGTGTGGCGATTGGGGATGATAGCCTCAACAATGCAGTGGAGAAGCTTAAAATAACTAACCCTGAAGTTAAGCTTAATGTAGCTGGGACCAGGTTCCTCTATGGCATGGTCGACGAGAAGATTGTCGTCCCTGAGTTCCTCAACCTTGGTTGAGAAGATGGATGGGTGTGCAGCCCAACCAGGAAGAACACACAAATTCGACTTACTAGGTTCTTGTCATTTGTATCTGGCCAGCCTGTGTGCCATTTGTTTTTATAATATTTTTTGGGGGATTTTGCCCAATTAATGTAATATTCTGACAATTTTGGTCCTCGTGACCGTTTAGCTTTGATGTCCTTTATGATACGGTGGCAGAACCGACTGTTTTGGAAAATGTTGGTTTGCGCTTTGCGTTTGTGTTCGCAAAATGTTGCGGTAAGCAAGATTCGCAACCGACTTTTATTTTATCCAACTGGAAAGGAAAAAAGCACAGAAAAATTCATTTTTCGAGATTTTGAGTACGGGGGGTAGATTATAGAAAGGAAAGGTGTTAGAACCCTTTCCATCCATGGTTTTCCATGGGCTCTTAGTTACTTGCTCATCTTTTTAAATTGCTTGTGTGTGTTTGTTTTGAAAATTTTTTGTTTTACTTTGTTTTAACCCTTGCTTCTGTCTTCAAGAGTGTTACGAAGTGTTTTTGAAAACTTTGTTTAAAAAGTGTTTGATGTGAAAAGTTTGATTTTGAGCAAGTACCTACTAGCATCTACCTACTCGAAAAAAGATTATTTTTGTTCTTGTTCCCTTTAGACAATGCTATCCTACTATTGAGAAATAGGAAGCACCGTGGTTGGAGTTGTAAGGGTCAATTCGAAAGGGACGTACGATCACTAAAGCAATGTTAGGACGCCTTAGTAATAACCCTAAAGTCTTAAGATCATATTCGAAGCAACATTTCTGAGGCAACCTTTTCGAGGCAACATTTCCAAACGGGACATTTGATCTTTTTTTAGACAAAAGGGCGACCACTAAAACACCCTATACTTAATGATCGTCTATCGAAGGCAACCGAAGTGAGAGTATACCCTAAGAGTGCGCATGTGTGAGTGATTTGATTTCAGTTATTATCTTTGCACATTAGGGTTTTCTAGCCATTTTAAAATTATCACGCAATCTTGTCATACAATCCTATTAGCATACATCTAACAGTTAATATTTGCGAGAATTAAAATGCGAGAAATAAAAACTACGCTATTACAAGGCTTCGGGGTAGGGATTAATTACATAGCCAAAAAAAACCCGTAAAAACGATAAATAAAGAAAATCCTAAATAAACTATTACATACCGTCAGCAGTTACATTAATATTGCAAAAATAGTAAACGTGTGCGATGAATCAAGAACAAGAAATTTAGGGTTTTAACCCCAACTACCTAATTGTTATTTAAAAGAAAAATCAATTTTTGTCGTTTTTGTGCTATTTGAAGAAAATAAGGTTTAATTGAATAAATAAAAAAAAACTAATTACTAATTAATTTAAATTAAGAAAGATGATTAAATTAACCTATTTTTTATTTTTTATTTTATGAAAAAGAAATAAAAATTAAATCAAGAACAAACCCTAATTTTTCTAATTGGTTTTAATTATATATAAAAAAAGTTAGAATCATCCTAATTTAAATTAAATTAACATTAAATTAAATTTGATAAAATCATGAAAAACCTAAATCTAAATTTGTGAAACTTGATCTTGTGATTTTTGTGAAATAAATATATTAGTTTAGGTTAAAAAATAATTAAACTAATTGAATTAAATAAAAGAAAATAAAAAAAGAAAGAATAAGAATGGGCCTGGTATGTTTGTAAGAAGGGGGTGCCTTTGGCAAATCTAAGCCCAATAGCTCCGGCCCTGTTTGACTTTTCCAGATTCTGTATGCCAACTTGACTCAAGCGCATTGTAGTCCTTCAGGGAGAAGGCGTTGGATCTGAAGCCTTGATGATCTGATGGTGGGATATTGATGATGCATGGTAGGCTTATTGGATACGTGTGTACCTGATTATGTAAGAAAAAATAATAGGAAGCAAAGTTGGGACCTGGGGATCGAACCCAGGCCCTTGGGCATTCTCACGCTGCATGCTAGCCAACTGAGCGGGCTTGGTTATTTGTACAAATAATGATGAGCGATTATTATATGATAAAAATAAAAAGTGATATTTCAAAACGCGTGAAATTTGAATGGGCGAGTCAGGGAGTGCCACGTTACTTTCTTCTTCCTCCCACCGTCGTGTTAGCCCTAGAAACTTTTACCTACGGTCATCTGAGTGTAGGTACAACCCTGTGTTTCTCCAAAACTTGATACAGGCATGATAAATGACAACCAATGGTACCAATCAACTCGTTGCAACCTCACGAGCATCATGGTACCATTATCCATGCCTAATTGTTCCTGTACGCAAAACCCCTAAAAACGAAACTAGAACCCTAGCTATGGCAACTTGTTGTATAGTCAATAAAAATACAATTGGATATAACCATTAGCTTACAAACATCTCAAGGATTAAGAATATATCAATGAATCATGCTAAATGTGCCAGAGTTGAGATATTCGAATTCAAGAAAAGGGGTGAACCGTATGAAACTTACAACGTGATTATGGGTGTTAGGAAGCTTGCTAGTGGTTGCAATATGATCTAGGGATGTCCAGCAAGCGATTGGGATGGTTAGAAAGGCTTGAGATGGCCTGAAACCTGGAAATTTATTTACAACTTTTCTTGAATTTTTGCAACTTTGTTTTCTGTTTTGCACGCCTCCAACATCTTGTTTCTTGTCTGCAATTGTTCCTTATGTACCCTAGAATGAATTAGGGCTACAAACTTGTATCAAATCTCCCTCAATTAAGATTATGGA